GACGTTGAGTCGATGTCTTTACATATGTCATTTGGACGTAGCTTTCAGTTGTGTTTCGGGTGACCGAGGCACCTTATGCTTCGATTATGCCTCAAAGATTTTGGTGCAAATATCATTGGATACGTTGGTACGTGATGGTGCCTTTTTTGTAACCGGTATGGTGTCCAGGACCCCAGGTGGATAATAATTATTTCAACACGTAGCATAGGGATGACAATGCCCACACAAGCTCGGCTAGGCTAAGGTACGAGTTGAGTTCAAGCGTCAGAGCACAAGTCGAGCTTGGCTCGATCCACGAGACCCCTATTTTTTTGAAAAAATTAAAAATCGTCCTCCTTTCTTCAGGCTTGAGATTGGCTACTTAATTTTCGAATAAATATCAAAACACGTCTGAACGTAAAAACTAAGGTTGATAATTGAGAGAGCTTCATTAGAGAAAATTCTTACATATTCCTACTTTCAACATTCGTTCTGTGAGTTTATTTTGGTGAGAAATGCATCAATTTCGTAATTCAAATACCAAACTATTCTTTCCACCGCATCTATCAGAGTTGCTGAAGATCGAGGGAAGTTGACTGGAGTTCCAGTCGTTGAGGAACGCGGTATTTTTTGTGGATCCATAGGAGATAAACGATTTCATAAAGTTAGGAGTTGTTGCAGGAGATCATAGTCTAGGAGAGCTTTGGAAACTGCAACTGGAGTGGTGCAGGAGCACAAAATTCAGGAAAGCTGTTAGAATTGCAGTTAGGAGATCAGATAATATGTGTCGTCGTCTAGGCTGAATCTGACATTCAATGTTTAGTAAATATCACGATTTTTGACTGGCAAATTGCTCGAAATTTTTACCCAGTTGGGGTTTCTCAGTGATCATACCGTGTGTTCTTACTACTTTCATTATTGATTATATTAACTGTGGTATTTAAACATATGTTAAATTGACTTGTATGTTTAATCATCTAGAGATAATTAATTAATTATATGTTGCAAATTAATTAATTATTTTAATTTCGCATAATATATATATTCACCCTCTTTCTAGGTATTGTTAGGGTCGAACTACGTAACTTTCAATTTACTTGTTTATGTATGCCAAATATATATTTTTATGTTAAATAATTGACTAAAAGACAAAACTAGAGCGTTGTCAATGGGGCATACACATTTTTACGGCTTAAAAAACTTGCTATTGCTATCATAGTTGTTAACTCGGATTGAACAGATTGATTCAACTGGAAACCCGATGAACCGGACAGTCCCAAGTCCTATGATAGGATCATATAGCATTCAAACCGGTTCAAAACTGAACGAAACTGTGAGTTGAAACCGGCTCGTCGATCCAAAATTTAATGGTATGAGTAATTGATCCCCGACCTTCTGGAAATTAGTACTGATTACATACCACTATGGTATTAATGTCATTTGTATAAATAATTGATACTATAATATATGAGACTTACTTTTATGAATTTCAACTATCTTTAAACTCTAATTTCTGTTAGAATACTTAAAAAGGATTTTTATGATCAGTTGTACGTGAAAAATTGAAAGAAGATGTTCATTAATTTTGTGAAATACGATAAATTATTGAAGACTTCTTTATTATTTAAAAAAAAATATTTATCATTTACAAAAATATAATCAATCATGATTTAAAATTTCAATGAATAAACATTAACCCACCGAATCGACCAGTGACCAAGTGATCAAAAGACTTAGCCGGGGTCAATGTCCAGGTCGGGTATAATAACTTTGGTTGTGAATAAACGATCGGGATAATATTTGTGCAAATTAATATTATTATTGATATATTGCAATTAGTAGTTATTAGAAGTTAAATTGTTCCTTATTTTCATAATCTCTTTCAATCGAGTAATTAGGGAAGACAAATGAGCAGGATCACAGAGACCATTACCGTCATGAGGATTGCGGGGGCAGGATGGAGATTAAAATATTCTTATTTAACGTTTTATTTAATTTTTAATAGATATTTTATAATTTTTTAAATAAAAATAAAATAAAATGATGAAGCGAATTCGTAATTTCGAGGCGAGGAGTGAGAAAATTCCATGTAATGTTTTTTGTCACCCTTGGTGTTTATCAACTACAACACAGTATTGGTAAACATTAATTCCTATAAAATTGGCAATTAAGCTACCTGCACAAAAATTATTTACACTTATGATGAGGTGACGTGCATTCTAGTCCTTGATTTGAATAATGCACGACACCTTATCATTTGTCAAACTAATTGTACATATAACATAACTCTAAAATTGGTTAAATATCTCAACATTTGAGTTAACATATCATTTAATAACACTGTATTGTCACGTAGACTTATAATATTATCGATCGTGATACATAGCATTATTCTTTTCATTAGCCTTTCCTCCTTCACGAGTAATGCTATTCATCCATTAGTTGTTATCATTAACCAAGTTATGTGGTCGTGGGCCCCCTGATTCAGTGTTACTTGTGTTGCATTTTAATATATCGAACAATAATTGTGAGATCATTGCCATATAGATTGACGATATTCACAACTAATGATAAATATTCTTCCTCCTAAGGATGTAAGTGATCCGATTTGATAAATTTTTGGTAGTGTTTCAAAATAAGTCATTTGAAGTGATTTGAGAAAAACACAAACGTAAATAGACCATTTAAAACTATTTCAGATTTCTCGAACCTAAACATAACAGTTTTGTCAAGTTTTAAATCGCGGTTTGTCCATGTATTTTTTTTCACTTTATCAGCAGCCATTTATTGATTATAATGTATTCTCATATTATATTGATGACTAAATAAAAAATTATACTATCAAATTATAAATATAAATACCAACGAAATCAAAGAAAACTTAAAATAAGACAACTGGTGCCATTGTCACCACCGACTAGCTTGTAGAGTTAAAATCGCCAATATTGTGGAGTTCTTTTTTTTTTTTTTTGATAATCCCACTCCTACGTGAGGGGGTGGACACCCTTTTGAAACCCAAATTATGTACCACTAGCAATGCCCTTTTTTTTTTTTGTGGTTATGAATCTTTGCGTGTGAAAACTAAATAAGAAGAGTGTTTCAACTTTGGTGTAAGCCAAATAAATTGATTGGTAATGGCAATATTAAATTAGCGTAATAATTGGTATTTAGTAATGGACAATTGATCAAATTGTCATTTTTGTATTAAAAATTTTAATAGTTATATTTTATTTAGAGGTAAGACTATAAATTATCAATCTAAATTCTAGCAGAAATTTAAAACTATTTATTTTATCTTCATTTTATTTTTTAAGTGGTCCAATTTGCTTTAGAATCGTCGTTAAACTTTCAAATCTAAACTAAACCGTTTTAGAAGAGTTTGGCTTAGTTCAAAATCATTTCGTTGATGCGTGACATTAAAATCAAAGATTCAAAAAATAGTTTCAATCAATTTTTCAATTTGAGGACTTTTATCTGTGTCCCTTCTTCTTCCTAACCTTCAAGCACACAAGGTCTCCCGTGGGCACATATTCATAGTCGTTGGTAACAAACACATAATTATAATACTTGCACGACAATTCGTTAGAAAATAATAGTGAAAAAACATCGGTTTAACAAATATCGGATATACACCTACCGGCTGGATAACTAATTTACCATATGAACAGAAATGCCGGATGGACACATATCGTATGTGAAACTAACTAATTAGCGTATGAACAGAACACGTACCAATAGTGCAACTAACTTACTGTATGAACATAACACATACTGGCAAATCAAATACCATATAAACAAATACCAGTTGGACATTGTCGTATGTACAGAACACATACCTTCAATGCAACTAACCGTATGGACGTATACCGGCTGAAAGGATACTGTATAAACAAATATTGGTTAGACCGCTAACTAACCGAATGTTAGCCAAAATAATGCATATTAAATAATTTTATTAATCGCAATAAAAAAAAGAACAAGTAATATAAATTGCAGGAAATAAAAATCCAATGAACTTTGAAAGTGAGGCCTGTGTGAACACAGTTTCCTTAAAACATATTCATCATCTCACCGTAAGTGCTTGAGGTTTAGTTCGAGCGTCTATTTCCAAGAATATAACAAAAAACACTAGAGTTTGAGCACTGCAGATACTACTCCGGCATATTGACTTAATATCTTAACAATATCACCACCAAGGGCCAATTTTTGGTCCATTCATGTACAACCTGCACCCGCACACAACCCTTGCATGCGCACATGGAAAGAGCTTTTATACTACATATAATTACACATTTTAAAAGTGTAATCATATTTAAAGTGTTCATTGTCTTTATCCATTTTTCTATGTGGGATAACTTTAACTAGTTTCCCTTCAACACAAAATCTCTTCCAATTTATCACTTTGAACTTCAATTTTTCATTTACCCGAACATAATTCCTGGCAAGTAAATATATGATGTTGATATTCTCACGAAAAAGAACAAATCAATTATGATCTTCCAAAATGAATAAAAGGGTCCCACTCAAAATGTATGTCAAAGTCTGCCCTTCAATATATTTATTTTTTCCAACACATTTCATGTCTTCAACTATTCTTTCATGATCATGAGCACATATCAAAATTTTTGTACCATCTCAAATATACGAACGGTGATCTGTGTTTTTAAAAGAAAGAATAGGAGGTTTTTAAAATAACAAGAAATTTCTGGAAAATCTCACTGACAAAGGTACTTCACCAAAAAAAATTAGTGCACATCTGACCAAGCTTAAATTATAACTTAAATTAATTGAACATAATTTTTATTTATATATTTCGAAGGTTCCATAATTATAACTCACTTATTAATATTATTACATTCTACAGGAGCCATCACGTGAATGATGAATCACACATTTATAAATGTAGCTAGTCAGAATAGAGAATTTATAGCAGCTGCTAAGATATAATACACTTGCTGCGTATTGCTTGACTATCTTTGTTTTTTTTTTCCCTTTTTTCTGTCACAAAAAAAAAAAAAAAAATGAGTCTGTTAGCCATTAAGGTAGCTGAATCTCCAGTGAAAAGTGAGGGTTTACAAGATGAACTCAGGGCTTTTGATGCTACAAAAACTGGTGTGAAAGGATTAGTAGATGCTGGGATCGAAAACATCCCAAAAATATTCATTAGACCAGCTGATGAAGTTGCCGAGGAATCAAACTATGGGCACAGCAATTTACAGGTTCCCGTCATTGATCTTAATGGTATTGAAGCAGATGATCAGCGAAGGAAGATCATCAA